GTGCTGCTTAAACGTTTGTGAACCCTTCAGAATTTCAAAAGATCATCAGATTTTCACACAGATCCTGAAAGTTGACAAAGAGAATCCAATCAAACAAATGAGACAAAAATATATACTTTGTCATTTATTTATTCTGGGAAATGATCCAATATTACATATCTGTGAGTGGCAAAAGTATGTGAATCTCTAAGATTAGCAGTTAATTTGAAGGCAAAATTAGGTGTTTTCAATCAGTGGGATGACTATCAGGTGTCAGTGTGTGTCCTGTTTTATTTAAAGATCAGGAATCTATCAAACATCTGATCATGTTTGTGGAAGTGAATCATGACATGAACAAAAGAGGTCTCTGAGGACCTCAGAAAAAGAGTTGTTGTTGCTCATCAGGATGGAAAAGGTTACAAAACCATCTCTAAAGTGTTTGGACTCCACAAATCCACAGTCAGACAAATTGCATTCCAGCATAAGATTCTTCCCATCTTTGAAACATGGTGGTGGTAGTATCAGGGGCCTGTTTTGCTGCATCCGGTCCAGGATGGCTTGCCATCATTGATGGAACAATGAATTCTGAATTATACCAGCAAATTCTAAAGGAAAATGTCAGGGCCATCTGTCCAAGAACTGAATCTCGAGAGACAATGTTCATGCAGCGAGACAACGACCCCAAGCACACAAGTCGTTTACTGAATGCAATTGTATCAATTTGCCATCCAGTAGGGACATTTTCCGCATTTTTTTCTTTTTTTGTGTCTTTACAGTTTAATACATTGTTGTATTTCCCACAGGCCTGTTCCTGATCTGCCCAAAAAGTCTTTCTTCTCATTTATTAATGATGAATTCATTGAAAGGAGGAGAAAAGGTCTTCAGAGCTTCTTGGATAAGTCAGTTCTAGTGTTTTATTTAAAATCTTCTGGTGCTTGCTTCTTACAAAGCATTTTAAAAACGGGAGAATTTAAAAATAGCATAAAATAGTACAGAAATATTCATTATAACACCAAATTTTCCTGAAATTAATTGCTTTCGTCTTCCTATACAGAGTGCTGCACATGACGGTATGCCTGTCAGATAGCCAGCTCCATCTTTTCCTGCAGACTCAGCTTCCTGTCAAGCACATTGAGGACTGTGTGCAGGGTCACACCCCTTACACTGTGACAGAAGCCATTCTGACTTATGCGTCCTCTAACCGTGGCTGGGTGCAGGAGGAAGGGGGCGGGGCCAGGGCCCAAGAATTATGGCCTACCCCTGTTCCATATGAATCCGCAGAGAGGTAAAAACCGGTCGCAATGACATAAAGCACATGATGATGTAACATTAAGATTACCTTCTCCTAATGATATACATCTCTTTACAGCCCTGCTCCTCACCTCCCTTCATTACAAAATCCAGGAGCCACATCTAGCGGACCTTTAAATGAACTTACAGATGTTTCAGACTCCGAGTCGAGACCGAGTGATTCAGAACAGACTGCACTTGACCTGAAGCAGGGAATTGGCCATGGGCAGCTGCCTCAAGAGGGAGAGAGTTACATTACATTAGTAGTTGAAGTCCACCCGAACCTTGTTGTTTCTGTTGAAACCGAGGAAGAGGATGGACACATTGGATCAAAAGAAATGCAAAGGCTTGATAAGGATGCCAAAGATCTACAAAATTATGATTGTGACTATCTTGCTCCACAGATAGATGGACTAATTGAAGACAAAATTCAGCAAGGAGATGCATGCAATAAAGAAGATCTTAAACAAGAAACGACTGTTGTCGAAGATGCAGTAGATGTTACCTCAGTAGACGGAGTCATCGAGAAAAAGATTCCTGATGATTTCAATGAAGTGAAGAAGGGAAGTCAAGATATTGGACTTGAACAGGACAGCGATTTGAGACGAGCCCCTCATGAAGAAGATCCAGGAGTAAGGATCCATAATAATGAAGTTACTATGGATCTCAGTGCTGTCGAGGAAGACAATGCTGAGAAGGTACTTGAAACCGCAGCTACAACTGTAGAAGATGTTGCACTCCATGATGCTTTTGAGGAGAGCACGTCAGATATTGAAGGTCAAGATAAAGCTGGTATAACAGAGGAACATGCAACCCAGGAGAATGGAGTCAGTGATGAAGACTGCAGCGAAGATGCTGCTGTTCAGGAAGAGAATGAGGTGCATGTCGGGGAAGTGAACAAGCTCAATGCAAAATGTTTTCAGCCTAGCAGTGCCATTTTGATACTTGAGGGAATTGAGGAAGCAGTGAGCACGCAAATGGCCCCCGTGACAGAGACTGTCAGTAACCTTGATGCAAATACTGCTGATGTCAACACGCTTGTTTTACACGCCATAGAGATTGATTCAATGCAATGTCACGAGACGGACAGTCATATAATCATCACTACCCACCAACCAGATACTAACTAATTCCCATGGAGAATTAGTACAGTCATAGATTGGACAAAGTGTTCAAAGAGTGCTCCCTTTGGCTCTTTCCCAGTTATCATCCAAGACGTTTTTTTTTTACTGTGATCTCAAAATGAGTGAGTGCATGTAACTATAAAGGGAGGAACACATCTTTTTTTTTTTTGTACTGATCCACTGTTGATGTGTTCAGACTGTTTACAGAAGATACACTGAATTTTTCCCCACAAACAATGTGAACAAACAGAGATAATGCACTGACTAATGTGCCATTCAGGATTGTGAGCAAATTCACATGCAACGAATAGTTATGAATCCATGGTAGTGGGCGAGAAAAAGCAGTGCACTATGGCACCGTGATTCTAAAATTCACCATTCTTAATAAAAATATTTCTGTGTTAGTATGATTTTCGCAACAGCAATTACCCCATGACATGTTGCTGATCTATTTTTAGCATTTTCAAAACTTGATTTTAACTGACATGTCACTTTCTAAGGCACTTCCCTTTTTTTCATCCAACTGTAAAAACATGTTGCTCACAGGTGTTTGCTCTACTGGAACTTTGGGTAATTTAAGGGATAGTTCACCCCAAATTGAAAATTGTCAATATTTATTCACCCTCATGTTCTTCCAAACCTGAATGACTTTTGGAAAAATTTTCCAATATTTGGAAAAATGTCTGTTTTTCTGTCCAATGTTGTTGTGGACCCAGTTGAATTTAATTTGTACAGTTGAAACATTCTTCAAAGTATCATCTTTTGTGTTTAAATGATTTTCATGAGGGAAGTGGAAAATCATTTAAGGGTGAGTAAATGATGACAGAATTTTCATTTTGGGGTGAACTTAATTTATTATAATTAAAATGCATTGGTATATTTAGTGTAGGTGGCTAATGGCTGTTAAGATTTTTTTTATATATATATATATATATATATAATTTCAGGGTCTTTGGTTTTTTAATTTCCTTGTAGTTTAATTTATGGTCAAAACACTAATTTCCATACAGAAACTTTATGAGCTAAGGAAAATAACCCAAATTTGTAAGAAATTACAGTGCACATTGTTTACAATGATAAAATATTTTATTTTCCCCATCCTAACTTAATGTTGCACCAGGTCAAGTAGGCTGCTCGTTGACTGTTCTTCTATATTCTGCTGTGATGTTGTGTTTAGTGGCTGCTTGTAATACTAATATGGGAACAGAAATGTACTCAAAAGGGAATTGCTTGTTGATTAATAGGAAAGGATACTTCTTTATTTTCTTAGATAAGGTGATCTCTTATCACACAGGTGTTTTTTCCCCCCCGAATCAGCACAGCAAGACAATTATGAATGCACAGTAGCATTACAAATTCAGAGCATCCTAAATTATTTGTTTTTCAAGGATTGAAGTTAATATTTTTAACAGTATGAGGTTCTGTATCTTATTTTAAGTTGGGAATAGTATAAGAACGTCTCAGTTGGCTCCACTCGTAATGTGACATTTTCATGCTCATTTGAAAGAGCCACATCTGTCGGCCTAGACTTCATTCTGCATGAGTGCCAGAGCAGGTGTTCATCACTGTATGTATGTTTGGATTCACCAATGTGCTTACTAACAGCAAATGAATAAAGAATGAGGTTGAAATGAAACTCAATATCTACTGATTCACCTGAGGAAACACGTTGGAAACCATGAGTGAATTCACAATACCAAACATTAACAGTATTTTAACTGACCAAATAAGTTTAAAAATGCCATTGGACAGTTCATACATGGGAGCAGCCAATGGAAATTTGAACTAAATCTAAAACTGCAATTTAAAATTAAATTGAATTAAATTTAAAAAAAAAATTTATTTTAGTTATTAATGTAATATTTATGTTCAAATGTATGTGAAAGCATAAATTGGATATAGAAATGTGTCGTCATTTTATTTCAGAAACAATTTTAGATTCATGTCAGAAATCCTGGTAATATAATTTATTTTTTAATCAGTCATGTGATAAGTTGATATATTTAGTAACTAACAAAACAATACTATCGGTTTCTTAATTATTAATCAATCCAATAATAAGTTATGCAGTTACAGTTATGGCAAAAGTATTACCACAAGATGGAGACATGGTATCAAACTAGGGAAAGTGAAAGTCATTCCCCATTTTGTCATTTATATAAAACACACAAGATAAATTATTTAAAAATGCCATTGGACAGTTCATACATGGGAGTAGCCAATGGAAATTTGAACTAAATCTAAAACTGCAATTTAAAATTAAATTGAATTAAATTAAAAAAAAAAAAATTTATTTTAGTTATTAATGTAATATTTATGTTCAAATGTATGTGAAAGCATAAATTGGATATAGAAATGTGTCGTCATTTTATTTCAGAAACAATTTTAGATTCATGTCAGAAATCCTGGTAATATAATTTATTTTTTAATCAGTCATGTGATAAGTTGATATATTTAGTAACTAACAAAACAATACTATTAATCAATCCAATAATAAGTTATGCAGTTACAGTTATGGCAAAAGTATTACCACAAGATGGAGACATGGTATCAAACTAGGGAAAGTGAAAGTCATTCCCCATTTTGTCATTTATATAAAACACACAAGATAAATTTAAATATTTCCATCTATTTTTATTTGCATCTCATACAATCATATATTTTAATTGTCTAAAATATATACTCCCTAAATATAAAGGCATATATAAAATTATAAAGACAAAATGTTTTTTTTCCCAAAATTAAATAATTGTTATAAATAATTTTTATTTCCATTGTACTAAAGACTACTTGGTATTTGGTTACAATGTATTTTTATACCCACTTTTACAGTAATGTGAGATGCACAAACCTTTAAAACAGAATAAAACCGACTTTTAAGATAATTTCATATTGTTAAAAAATAGAGCTGTCAAAAGAATGAAACGGTTATTAATCTCATGATTTCTTTAATAATATAAAGATCAGTAATTGTGATTACCCCCTTACAGGCCCCTGGGGAGTGACCCCAGTTTGCATAAACTGCTTAGACTAGTCTTAAAAAGTTAGTCATCTCATTTGTTTTCTTCGAGACTGGTTATCATTTTTTTAAGTCAGTTACAAAACGTTAGATTGGCCCAATTTGAGTCAGAAAAGTAAGGCTGATTACCTCTTGGCTAACTGCTAGTTGGTTAAACTATTTCTTAAGACACAGTCTTAGCATAGTGGCTATGTTTATGCAACTGGCCTGGTCTCGCTCATAATGAAAAAGCAGAATTGAAATGTACTGCAACATCTTAGAATCTATAGTTTCCTGTTACACAGCTTTAGCATTTCACATCAACAAAATATCTTCTTAGCAATCTAGTGTGGATTTCTGGGACACTGCGTTCAATATTTGAACTATGCTCTTCCCAGTGTAGGAAAAAACAGTGCTTTCAATATGTTGATGTGATCTAACCCGTTGACAAACAGTGCTGAGTTCAAGGCTGAGCCCAGACCCCAGTTTGCATAAACTGCTTAGACTAGTCTTAAAAAGTTAGTCATCTCATTTGTTTTCTTCGAGACTGGTTATCATTTTTTTAAGTCAGTTACAAAACGTTAGATTGGCCCAATTTGAGTCAGAAAAGTAAGGCTGATTACCTCTTGGCTAACTGCTAGTTGGTTAAACTATTTCTTAAGACACAGTCTTAGCATAGTGGCTATGTTTATGCAACTGGCCTGGTCTCGCTCATAATGAAAAAGCAGAATTGAAATGTACTGCAACATCTTAGAATCTATAGTTTCCTGTTACACAGCTTTAGCATTTCACATCAACAAAATATCTTCTTAGCAATCTAGTGTGGATTTCTGGGACCTGCGTTCAATATTTGAACTATGCTCTTCCCAGTGTAGGAAAAAACAGTGCTTTCAATATGTTGATGTGATCTAACCCGTTGACAAACAGTGCTGAGTTCAAGGCTGAGCCCGACTGACCTCATTTTAAACTGTGACATCTGCAGGCGGGGTTGTGTGGCTGGCAGCAGGGGACTGCAGCCGGAATCACGGTGTAGTCGGCCAATGATACCTTATCTGTGGCGATGTCCCATAGCAGAGCCTCCCTCTCTCTCTCCACTTCCTTCAAGACAGATCTGTACTCATCACTCTCAGGGTTCAGAGGGGTCTCCTCTGCCTCGTCCTGTGAGAGGTCAAATATCAGAGGGGGGTCGTGATACTGCTGTTGTCCACTTCCTCCACCGCATGTCACTGATCCACCTGAGAGAGCACATCAGAACCATTAAATCAACCAATACCAGCGTAGTAACAGTCATTTTAAAAAATGTCATTGGACAGTTCATACATGGGAGCACTCATGGATATGTATAGGTAGATTCCACATTCCATGTTACACTACATTTTCAAACAAGAAATAATTAGTTTAAAATATGTCTATTTATTTGTCAATTTTAAGAAAATTATATTTCTTAATTTATTTCACCGATACATTTTTAAACATGATTGAATTTTTTTTTTAAAGTTTAAAATGTCTATTTATTTATCAAGTTAAAAATGTGATTTATTCATTTATAATTTACTGTTACATTTAACTATATTTTTAAATGTAAATTAAATAAATACTTTTAAATGTTTAGCAATTTAAAACTGACTTTTTTTGATTTATGTAATTTTGATGTGCTATTTTGTATTTTATTCTTGTTAAAAATCAATAAACATGATCAAATAAAAGTGAAGTTTTAGTTTATTATTTTACTGTTACATGTAACTGTGTGAATTAAAACATACATTTAAACGAATTAAATCAACTGTTTAAAATATAAACTAAAATATAGAATAAAATAAGTGTATTTGTCAAGTTAAAAAATATTTATTTACAGTTTTATTCATGAATTATTAAATTGATTCGTTTTATTTTTAAAGTGGAAGTTAAGTCCTCAGCTAACTAAAATAAGTCTATTTATTGGTCAATTCAATAAATTATTTATTTACAGTTTTATTCTTGAATTAATACATTGATTTTTTCATTTTTTTTTAAGCGAAAATTAAGTCCTCAGCAAACTAAAATAAGTATTTATTGGTCGATTCAAATGAATTATTTACAGTTTTATTCTTGAATTAATACATAGATTTTTTAAATTTTATTTTTAAGTGGAAGTCTTCAATAAACAGAGACCTGTGATGTAAAATGCCTTGTGATGTTTCAGCCTGACGGTTTGAAGGTCGCCAAATTGTCCTGCAGCACAGCTGTTTGGATGCATGAGACTCTGAAGACGGGAACAAGAATTTACAGAAAGCCAGTCAGAGCAAATTTCACAAATGTTTTTTTTGGTCTATAAAGCGGTGTATCATCCAAACAGACTGTACCTTATGCCCTGTGTCAGAGTCGTTGAGCAGAATGTTTGTTATATCAATGCTGTCATAGCGTCGATCTGATGGTGGTTTTACACCAGCCAGGGAGAGGATAGTTGGAAAGATGTCCAGACCACTAAGGAGTTAAAGCCAGTCGTCATTCAGTGAAAACAAAACAATCATGCTACACAATGTTCATAATGTTCCAGTACCTCAGCAGGGCGCTGCTGGTGCTGTTGGGTTTGATCTTCTTAGGCCATGCGACCACTGTGGGAACTCTATGACCTCCTTCCCATGTGGTTCTCTTGGCTGAGCCACCATCTGCTCCAAAGAATGAAAACAGAGTATTACATGATAATTCAATTAGTGGGTTTGTTATCTAAAACAACTGAGGAGAAGTCATAAGTAAGCATGAAATCTGCAACACAGGGGAAAAAAAAAACTTGGATCTTCATTCATGAAATATCTTTAGGTTAAAGATATAACACCTTATAATATTTTCAATAAAGGAGACTATAAAGGTAAACATTTTATATGACAGTTTCTTCATTACCTCTGCTTGCCTGCCACTTTCCAACAAAAGGCCCAACATGCCCAGCAAACTGGCATTTCTGCTCCCACGGGCCATTGTCACCTTAGAAACTGATGTTTCATTGTATTGATAGTAAGCAAAGTTTTAACTAAAACAGCTTAAAGTGCAATACATGTAAAATAACTCACCAGTGAACCATATTAATGTGTTTTCCAGCTGCTCAGTGCTGATCGCCTGCATGATTGTCCCCACCAAAGAGTCCATGTCACTGAGGCTGACTGTGTAAGGGTCTTGTGTCGTAACATTTAGGAAGGAGTTATGGAACAGTGGGACATGCATGTGAGCAAGAGCCACATACAGTAGGAGCGGCTGCTTCTTAGAAATGCTACACAGACACATTAACACAAAACATACGATATTACCCAAACTGTACAAAAACAGAAGGATACGTTTGTTACAGAGAGGCACAATGTAGCGGTACAATTGTGAAATATTACAGTTTAAAATAATTCTTTTCTATTTTTTTATATTTTAAAATGTAATTTATTCCTGTGATGGCAAAGCTGAAATATCAGCAGCCATTACTCCTGTCTTCAGTCACCTGGGGTCTCATTTATAAAACTCTCCGTAGATTTCATCCTAAAAGTGTACGTACGCACAAAAGCTAGATTTTGCGTACGCACAAAAGTTTTCAGATTTATAAAACCTGCCAGAACCTGCGCAAAAATCCCTTTATAAATCCCAGTCAGGGTAAGATTGTGCCTACGTGCATCTCCACC